TGTGCTGATTATTGTGGCTGAAGGGGCTTAGAAGCAGCATTTCCATCAGGTGAATCCTGGAGCTGCAGCAGCCTCAGAAATGTCTTAGTGCAGAAAGCACCTTCCTGCACTCTCCATGGCTTTACATGCAGCTCTGCTGGCTGTGTGCTAGATCCATCCACTGTCAGAGTCCCATCTCCACAGGTTCAGTCTTACCCTTCCTGTGCTTCTTTCCTGCCTCGTTGGCCCTTGAATTCCCTCTCCCTTGGCCCATACTGGCAGCCACGTGGCTCTGTGGAGGCTGCCAGGCCTGGGGCTGCAGGGATGGTGAGGGGCACTGACCTAAAAATGTCAGGACAGGTCACAATGGTTCCAGCTACCTGATGCCCTTGGATCACATCAAGGCCTTTCAGCAGGGATATTCCTGCTCTGTAGGGCAGAGGAGGGCACTTGTGTGGAGATGGATGAYTTTCTTTATCGTGGAGGATACACCTTGGAGAGAGTTTTGGTGTTGTGTAATGGGAATTTGGAATTGAGCATTTTGGTTAATGCTTAGAAAAAGGGTCCCATGTGAGCATTGCTCAGCACCTCTGCTGGAGGAGGTGAGTGTGGGTGCCAAGGCTGTGCYTTGCAGGATTTTCAGGCTGTGTGCCCTCTCCCTGCAGGCCGGCCATACCGTGGGAAGCCCAGCGACATGTGGGCRTTGGGGGTGGTGCTCTTCACCATGCTCTACGGCCAGTTCCCCTTCTACGACAGCATACCTCAGGAGCTCTTCCGCAAAATCAAGGCTGCCGAGTACACCATCCCCGAGTGAGTACAGCCTGCCCTTCCTGCCTGGCCACGGGGGGATTACTGGGCCAGCTGGAGCTGGAAGGGCTCCCCTCAGCACCCTGAGGGTTGCAGTAGTACTGACAACAGGCTGTGTGTAGTAGACACCAGGAAGCACCAGCGGGGYTGGGACAGTTTTTGGGAAAGTGAGGCAGGCCCAGAGCTCAGGGACAGGATCCCCTGCTTAATTTGGGGGTCTCTGGGTCAGAGCACTGGTGTCTCCTGTAGCTCCCAGCTCTGCCCACCCCAGGCTCAGAGTGTGTTGTCTCTCCCAGGGATGGCCGGGTCTCAGAAAACACTGTGTGCTTGATCCGGAAACTGCTRGTCCTGGATCCACAGCAGCGGCTGACGGCTTCTGAAGTGCTGGATTCCCTCAGCTCCATCATAGCGTCCTGGTATGTGCAAGGGGAGACTCAGGACATGCTGTCTCTGGCCACAGGCTGTGTTGTTCCAGCTGTGGCCAGCTTGGCTCACCAGAGGAGGGTCTGGAACTGCAGTAATCTTTTAAATCCCGTGTCTGCACCACTGTGTGCTGAGGGATACAGCTGGAGAGGCCTGTGCAAATGCTTGTGGCAGCCATGGCCATCCCAGTGAGATCACCCAGGGGCTGGGTGAGGGTGGTGAGCCAGTGCCATGCTCTAGGTCTAATGCTCTGCTCTCCTCCAGGCAGTCCATGTCCTCGCTGAGTGGCCCTTTGCAAGTGGTGCCAGACATAGATGACCAAGTGGCTAATCCTGAAAACCCCCAGGAGGTAGGTTTCTCTGCTTTCCGCAGAGCTGCTTTTCCATGCCACTGTGCCAATCTGTCTGTAATGGGAATGGATGGCAYCCATTGTGTCCCCAGGATGGGAAGGGGAGGGCGGGGAGGACACAGCTGAGTCCCTCATGTTGTGCAGCGGAAGGAAAGGCTGATGCTGCTGGGAGCAGGAGGCACGTCCAGCTGGCTGAGCTGCCAGGAAGTGAGCTCGGCCTGGAGCTGATGAGAGCAGCTCCCTCCACTCCCAACAGTGCTCACTCCCTCACACACAGCTGGGAATGCTGGGAGGAGGCAGCAGCGTTGGCTCTGGCTCCCAGGGAGCTCTGCCATGGGAGCAAACATCCTGTTTTCCTGCCGGCGTGTTTCATGCTAGAAGTGCTGGCCGTGGCCTGGCTGCCCGGGGACAGCTGTGCAGGATCTGAGGCGGTGGCACAGGGACAAGGGTCAAGCAGCTGCAGCCTCAGCGCTGGCAGGGTTGGGATGAGCCACAGGACAGAGCTGCTGCAGTGACCAGAGCTGTGTCCTGGTGCCACTGCTGGCTGATGGGGAGTCCTGCCACAGGTCCTGTTCTTGGATTAGGATCTCAGTTATCCTGTGGTATCCTTAGAGGAGCCGTGGGGCTGCCGGGTGTGCCTCTGACAGGTCCGTCTCTGCAGGTGAAGGTGACAGAGGAGTGCTCCCAGTACGAGTTTGAGAACTACATGAGGCAGCAGCTGCTCTTGGCTGAGGAGAAGAACACCTTGCATGAGGCCAAGAGCTTCCTGCAGAAGCGGCAGTTCGGGAACATCCCGCCGGTGCGGCGCCTGGGCCACGACGCGCAGCCCATGAACCCCTTGGACGCGGCCATCCTGGCCCAGAGGTACCTCCGGAAGTAGCTTCCCACGCCCCGAGAGCACGAGCACCACCCTGCAGTCTGCCCTCACCTCACCTGCTCCAGCCTACAGCAATACCGGTGTCCCACGACGGGGAATAATGTAGCAATCCCAAGCTCTGTCCAGGGACACGCACTCACGCCCGCTCCGGAGGGAGAAGACTTTTGGAAAAAGCTAGTTTTGGAAGCAGCAACCTCTTGGCATCTTCTGGAATCTGTTTTTTAAAATCGAAGCCTAGATGACTAATCTGCTTTTAATCATGACTGTAATCTACCTCTCTTGTCTTTTTAACCATGCTGTTCTCTGGATCGAGCAAAGCCCGTGGGAAAGGAGGAGACTTCCAACGGTGAAGCTGCTGGCACAGAGCCGTGGCCATGCAGCGTGGAGCCGGCCCCTGGCGCCYGCTCCGTGTGGTTTGAATAAGCTTGGATTTACCAGGGTTTCTCGAAAGGAAGAATTTCTTGAAACCTCCCACTTCCCTTCATCTGCATCAAATCTGTTTCTGTCCTTACGTGTCACCTGGTCTGGCCGTGCTGGCCACCGCAGTGACCGGAGAGCCCAGCCACCACCTCGGGCAGGAGTTGAGGAATCGTCCGGGCAGTGCCGGCTGCAGGGATCGGATCCTGTCCCCAGTTCAAAGGTTTCACAGGACTTGGCCCACCAGGGCCCCTGCCCCCTCTCCCACCTCCCACTGATTCCTATAGTTTATAAGGATCTATGATTTAATCTTATTTTTCAGTAGCATATCCCAGGTGCAGTTACAGTTGCATTAATTCTGATTTAGCATTTCCCCCCCTCAGTTGTGGTACAGATGTAATATATGAGTTATAATGTGAAAAGCTTCCCAAAATAATCCGCCTAGAGGTAGGAGGGGGCTGGCTGAAGTCTCTACTGTATTTGTTCCCAGCTTTTCTTGCCATCCCAGCCCAAACCTGGGGCTGCCTCTGCCCTCATGCCAARGCAGGGGAAGGACATCCTGGTTTGTCACCTGGTGCCACTGGAGGAGCTTTGGCCTGTGCTGAGAACAGGAACGATTGTTTCTGAGCCTCATTTATGAACTGGATGCCTGTCTTGCCAGATGAACTGTTCTCACACAGCTCCCAGGGCTCCCAGTGCCCCAGCCAGGGCTCCTGCTTGAGGCAGCAGCTTCTCCAGCTGTCTCATTCCCTGCTCCCAGCTGGGAGCCCTCCYGCCAGCCCTGTGAGCAGGGAGGGTTGGAGCTGGGCGAGCTGCTCTGCTTTTTGGGGCTGCCCTGCTCTCTGGGCCCAGCTCTTGCAGCACAGTGGGCGTGGGCAGGGAGCGAGTAGCAGATGTTTGTAGCGTGTTGTTGCCTTCTCTTGCCCCMGGCTGGGGAAGGGAACGGGGTCTAAGCTGGGCCACCCCAGCAGTGGCTTTGTGGGGACAGGGGCTGGACCTGAACCTCCCTGGCCACCTCGGGCATTACGTCCTGCCTGCGCCTCACCAAGGCCCTGTGGCCAGGCAGGGCCTCGTGAACACTAACACAGACCAGCTCCCTGCACCACCCCAGCTGAGCCAGTAGCCCCAACTCTTTCGCCTTATTTATTTTGAAGATGGTGGGTCTGTCCTGGCACCCTCCAGTGTGGGCCCATCCCCCCCTGTGCCACCAGCAGCAGGGCAGGGACCCCCTGAGCATCCYACCAGGGCCCCGCTCTCTCCTTCTGGTTTTCTCCTGCCTCGTTCCCACCTCTTTATTTTTACTGTTTTCCCCCAAAGTTAAAGCAAAAAAGCAATATTCTGGGACTCCCTGAGGCTGTATCACACCACGATCCTGCAGTGGCAGCACCAGTCAATCCACTTGTGCTAAGGCAAACTGGAAGGGGGTGGTGCAGGGGGCAKGGGGGGGCCAAAGGGCCATGGCGGGACAGAGCCTGTTGTAAGGAAAAAAAAATGAAAAAAAAAAAAGAGGAAAAAAAATTTGTATAAAGACGTTATTTTTGTACTACATCGGAACTACTCCTGCATGTCGGCAATAAAACTTCATACGACAGCCCGGTGACCCCACAGGGATGGYGGGGAGGGATGGGGGATTTTGGGGGACTGATGTGCTCTGGGAGATGTACGGGACTGTGGGGGAGCCAAGCTCAAGGGACAGCGGCCCTGGGTGGCCCCAGGGACCGCCAGCCCTGTCCCCGGTCAGCCACTGAGCCTGTCCCTCCCAGTCCAGCCTGGAGTGGCCACAGGGGACAGTGATGGAATGCTGAGCCTCGTGTCCCCGAGGGTCCCTCCAGCCTTGGGAACAGTGGTGGCATTGGAGCCTCTTGTTCCCGAGGCCCGGTCCCACCAGCCCTGGCGTGTCCACACCTTGGCCAGGGGGGCTGAACCGGGGCCAGGCACTGCCAGTGGCCAGGGCTGCTTCAGCGACATAAGGGCAGGACGCTGCGTATCCCCCACCCCCATGGGGCTGTCACCACCCGCCACAGACCCCACAAACGCATCGCCACCGGAGCCTCCCCAGCCCGGGGAGCTTGCATGGGGTCCGGCACCGCCATGGCACAGCCATGGCTTGGATGGGCGCTGGGCACGGCTGGGACAGGGCCYGGAGCCGCCCATGGCTGTGCTGCGGGGCGGCTCCAGTGCAGGGCCGAGCGTGGCGTCCCGGGGGAGCGGGACGAGCCCCGGCCCCGCGCCCCGCTCAGCCCCGGCCGGGGCTGCCATTGGCTCCGGCGGGAGCGCTGACCGCCAGCCGCCTCCGAACTATTTCCTGTTGCTGCAGCGTTAATGCTAAACAGACCTTGCTCTCTCTTCCCTCGCTCCAGCCAAAGTGCAGCGGCTCTGCCGCCGCCGCCTTCCCAGCCCGGTGAGTACCGGCCCCGGGCACCGCGCGGGGCTCAGCGCGGGCACCACGGCGACATCGGCACCCTCGGCCACCAGCCCCGACGGCCACCAGCCCCGACGGCCACAGCGGCTGTCGCGGCTCGGTTCCGTCCCGCCTCAGGTGCTCCGGCACCGGGGGACGCGGGGCTGGTGCAGGGACACGGGGCTGAGAGCGCAGGGCTCGGTGACACAGGGCTCGGGCTGTGGGATCGCAGCGGGTGARGATGCGGAGCAGGCGGCTCGGGGACACAGAGTAGCGCTCGGGGACGCAGCACTGARCCACTCGGAGTTCGGCTGTTGGGGACATTTGGCCGCAAGGCCCTAGAGCCAGCATAGCTCTTATCAGCACCCTGTCACCGGCTGGGGTCCCTGGGGTCCCGTGGTGGGGCTGTGCCACTCCAGCCCCACAGCAAACCCTTGCCGGGCAGGGGCGGCTGTGCCGCTGCTTCTCGGGGAGGGTATCTCCCCTTCCTAGGGACCCCGCTGGCCTTGTTTTGGGGTGTCCCACTAGAGGGGCTGCCCAGCCCCGGGACGTGCCGCAGCCCCTCAGCTCTGGACTGTCCGGGATGGTTTTGCTGATGTGTCACATTTTCTGCATTTCTTTCCTCATTCCTCCCTCCCTGGAGCCGTTTCTGGGAATGAGCTCGTCCCCTGCCAGGGCCAAATTGCCTCCCGCCCTGCCCTGCCCGCTGTCCTGCTTCCCATCCTTCCCACTGTCCTGCTGCCCATCCTTCCCGCTGTCCTGCCTCTCATCCTGACCGCTGCCCTGTCCTGGCACTGTGCCTGGCCTTGTCCTGGCACTGCAGGACCCCGCGGCAAAGGGCCAAAGCTGGAGCTGGGCTGGAGCTGTGTGGGGGACAGGGACAGGGACAGGGACAGGGACACTGCTCCAAGGGTTTTTGGGGCACCCGTGTGTGCACACGAGCACGGGCAGCTCTGGCAGCCGTGTGCGGGAACCCTGCTCTGTCCCTGTCCCTCTGTCCCTGCCTCTCTGCCCCTGTCCCTCTGTCCCACCCCAAGGCCGGGCAGGGGACAGAAAGCCTGGCCCGGTGCCACGGATCCGCCTGATGCCGTGTCCAGGAGGAGCCGTATCCGTCCCGTTCCCTCAGGAAGGACGGAGGGCGGCGGGATGGGCCGGCTCCAGCCCTGGACCGGGCAGCCCAGCCCAGGCACCGAGCCCTGCTCAGCCGGAGCTCAGCGAGGAGCCCCTGGGTGCGCCCAGGCACGGCCTGGAGAGGGACAGGGGACTTGGGGGCGGTGGCAGATCGCTGTAAAGCCTTGCTCAGCCCCTGTCCCGCAGATGCCAAGCATGTGCCGTCCCTGGAGCCGCTGAGAAGTGCCAGGCACAGGAACAGGATGGAGAGCTGCCGGAGGGACATGGAGCTGCTCAGCAACAGCATGGCCGCATACGCCCACATCCGAGGTGAGCCAGGACGCGCTCGGGGGGCCTCCGGGGCCACCGCAGCCCCCGGCCGGTCCCTCACCCYCTCTGTTCCCCCCACAGCCAACCCCGAGAGCTTCGGGCTCTACTTCGTGCTGGGCGTTTGCTTCGGGCTGGTGCTGACCCTGTGCCTGCTGGTGCTGCGCTTGTCCTGCCGGCCCGCCCCGCGGCCCCCGGCGCGCCCCGACCTCAGCGAGGATGAGGATGAGGACGACGACGAGGACGAAGAGGACACCGTCGACCGCGCAGCGTCTGAGTCGCTGCTGCCGGTGACCGAGATCCCGCTGGAGAGCCACGGTCCCGGGGACGGGGCTCTGGCCGTGAACGTGTTCGCGTCGGCCGAGGAGCTGGAGCGGGCGCAGCGGCTGGAGGARCGGGAGCGCATCATCCGCGAGATCTGGCGCAATGGGCAGCCCGACATCCTGGGCTCCGGCACCATCGGCACCCTGGGCCGCGTCCACTACTACTGAGCCCGGCCGCTGCCCTGGGGCCGTGTCCGCTCCCCACAGCTGACCCCACACCGTGTCAGGAGCGAGCAGGAGGGCGGCGGGGCTGCCCTGGACTGTCCCTGCACCACGGACAGCCGGACCCCGCTGTCACGGGCACCCCCGGGGCTGGATTCGCCCCCGCCGCTGTGGGACACGATGCACTTTGAGCCATTGGTACGACGGCTGGCASCAGCCGAGCAGCCCCGGGACACGCGGGGACAGGGACAAGGACAGAGGGTTTCACCAGGTGGGGCAGGGCCGGGCTGTACGTCCGTGTGAGCCGTGGGGTCCTGCCCCTTAAACATGGTGCTGTTTTACACGAACTGGAGCCCAGCGTGGCGGGTCCGGCGTTTTGGGGGGCCCCGGACACAGCGACGGCCGCGGCTTCTCCCCGCGCCAATTCCCTTCCCGGCCCCACTAAAATTAGCCGGGACTTTTCCGGCACCGCCCGCCGTGACCCAGCGCCCTCCCGGCCGGACCAGGGCGGATGTTCCCGCTGGACTCCGGACCGGCCGCTGCTCCCCGGGGATGCGGCAGCTCCCGCCGGGCTGAGCCGCATCCTGCCCCGCTCCCAGCTCCAGCCCCGCGGGGTGCGGGGCCCCGCTGCCCCCTCCCCGGCAGCTTTATAAAAATAGCTCCTTCCCAGGCTGGTCCCCCCTCCTCCGCCAGCGCCAGCGGGATCCAGATGTTTTCCAGATGTTCTCCAGTGGCTGGAGGCCAGGATGTGCTGGGGCTGGGAGTGGGGCTGCCCTGGGAAACTGTGCGGGGGTGGAGGAGGAGGAGAAGAGGGAGGAGGAGGAGGAGGAGGAGAGGGAGGAGGAGGAGGCCCTGCCCCAGCCCCGCCGGGCCCTGGTGGGACCCCCGGTGCCACGGTGGGATCCTTTGTGCCCGGCGGGACCAGCCCAGCCCTGCGGGTCATGGCAGCCAACCACAGAGCCCTGAGCAGCCCCTACACATCACTCTGTACACRAAATAGTTTATTTAAAACTATTTCTACAGGTCCAGGGGCTATCGTGCGTCAAGGAGCGGTGAGCCTGGGCGCGGTGTGGGTGTAGAACGGGGCTGGGGGCAGCGAGGTCAGGGAGGCACAGGCCACCATGTGCCACCCACATGCCACCCGCATGCCCCGTGCCCCGGGGTGGGCACCACAGCCCCACAATGCTAATAGGGCAGCCCTTTCTTCACCCGCTCGATCTCTGCCTGTGGGGAGAGGCTGTGAGTGTTGGGGGGCACAGGGGGGACCCCGGGATGGGGCAACCCCTGCCAGGGACTCACCTGCAGTGCCTGGCGCTGGGTCCGCTCCTGGCACAGCTCCTGCCGCAGCTCCTGCAGATCCCGCCTGCAACAGCCCGGGTGGCTCAGCCGTGGCCAGATCCAGCAGCAGATGGCCAGAGCCACCAGGGACCCCCTGGCACCCCCATCCCCACTCACAGGTGCTGGACTCGCATCAGGTCCACGAGGATGTGCARGGTCCGGACCTCAGCCTTCAGATCCTCCAGGGCCAGCGGCTTCCCCTCTGACCCCTCTGACCCCTCCAGCCCTTCCGTGCTCCATGGTGGGATTGGGGCACAGACCCCAGCACAGGGAAGCCCCCGGGGCTGCTCCTCCCCACAGGGACCCCCCGTGCTCCCCAGGACAACGCTGGGTGGCCGCTGGCCGGGTACCCGTGGCCGTGTGGCTGTGGGGTGGCTCAGCCTGGCTGTGGTCACCGACACGGTGTTGAAGCCTTCAGCATCTGCCGAAGGAAGAGCAGTAATTGGCACCTGGTGCTGGGCAGGGCCTGGCCACCCTGCAGCCCCCTGAGTGACCCCTGGACCTTACCTGGRTCACTGGCTCTGCTCCTCTCCGTGTCAGCCGAGGTGCTGGGCTGAGGGTCAGTGGGCCTGGGGACAGCAGGGGTGTGAGATGGCACAGCCAAGGAGCTGCCAACCCCACAGCAGGGYCAGCCGTGGCCATGAACACGGCCCCGGGCACTGGGACATCGCAGTGGCCCTGGATGCGCCTGCACAGCCACGTTTCTTACTTGGTGGCCAGCACGGGGGCAGGTTTGGTCTTGGCCGGAACTGGGGGAGCAGGAGCCATCCTCTTGATGAGTGGGAGCTTGGCTGGCTCCATCCTCGCCCGTGCCGGGAGCTCTGCGGGGTGAAAGCAGGAGCAGGAGCAGCCCTGTCGGGGCAGAGCGGGGACAGGAAGCGCTTCCTGCTGGGGACATGCCCTGGCCCAGGGGCCCRGYCCTGTCACATCCCTGTCRTTCCCTCTCCTCCAGCCCAGGACTCATCCAGGGGCTCCGTGTCCTCGTCCTCCTTGTCCTTCACTGTGGTTCCAGCTGCCAGGGAGCCAAGGGACTGGACAGGGATCYTCTTCCAGCCTCTCCCAGCCCCACACCCATCCCTCCCCCAGCCCCACAGCCGCTGTGGTCTGGTACTTCCTCTGGCTGCGGTGGAACAGGCAACTGCAAAGGTTCTCGGAGAACAAGCACCACATCTTGGGCAGGATTWCATCCCACCATYATCCMCRGCACAGCAGCGTCCCTGACCTGCCRAACCCCRGGGTCACACCAGGACCGGCCACTGGCACGACACAGGACATCAGGCCCTGGGCATGTGGGCCATGGACTGCCCTGTTGTCATGGCAGGTGCCCCTGAACCCATGGCCAGGTGGGCCATGCTGTAGTGGGTCACTCTGTCCTTGTGGTGGGTCACCCTGTCCCTGTGGTGGGCCACCCTGTCCCTGTGGTGGGCCACCTTGTTCCCATGGTGGGCCAGCAGACACAGAGGCCTCGCAGACACGGAAAATGGTGCTGGTATTACCCACCCAAAGACACGTCTGCAGTCTGGGGGCTGTGGGGATCAGGGCAGCCCTGCCCGAGGCCCCCGTGCTCCTTCACTCCTGCAGCAACAGGGGTGAYGGTGCCCAGCATCCCACCAGCCCCGCACTGGCAGCTCTGCTGGACCCCAGGGCACGGCCCAGCCCTGGAGCAGAGTGACCACGCACAGGGGCTGCCATTGGGATGCTCCCCGTGTTTGGGACCCTCGGCTATTCCCTCCTACCTGTCCCCAGTGCCGAGCGGTGTTGTGCCGTGCCAGGCTCCTCCGGTCCCGCACCGCACACGTGATGTGCAGGAGGAAACCGCTGTGCTGGGAAGGAAGTCAAACCAAAGCACCTCTTGTGATACTGCACACCACAACCCCGTGCCCCCAAAAGGGATCTCCAGATCCCAGCCCTGCCACCTGACCCACCCTGATGAGTCACCAAGGTTCCTGGGGCCGGAGGAGCACCAGACTCATTGGATTTTGTGTGCTGTGATGGCTTCAGCTGTGGGAGAGGGTTTGAATGAAGATGGGACCAGAGGGCACTGGAACCGCAGGCAGTGACCRCTGGCACRGCACAGCCCCACAGAGCCCTGTGTCCCCCTTGGCCACTCCCAGCTTGGAGCCCCCACCCAACTTCTCCAGCCCTGGGCAGGGCTGGGCCATCTGTGCCACTGCAGGGTGTCAGTGCTGCCATCCCTGCGCAGCCAGGAGGAGCCGGGGCCAGGGCAGGACCGCAGCCAGCCCGGAGTGACAGATCACAGTCGGGGCTCACAGCAGATCTGTCACCCTCAGTGGGAGGGAAGTGAAACCCAAACCACAGAGGGGCCAAAACCCACAGACCGCGAGTGCAGGGGCGGTGCCACTGCTGTCCCTSCGCAGCGGTCAGTGTGACACAGGGATCTGAGCTGGTGCTGGCCGGTGCCTGGCCCAGGAGACTGCGGATATTCCTTTTTGCCAAATGCATCTGACCCTGCAGTACCTCCCAGCAGCAGGGATGGGGCTGGGAATCAGCCCTCGGGCAGAGAAGGATGGTGGAACAGAGGTTGTGTTGCAGACCAAGAGGCTGCACTTGCCAGCTGTGGCCACTCAGGCCAAGGAGTTGGCAATGCTGGGCACCAGCAATGTCTCAGGCTGGCTCAAGGCTGAGTGTGAAGGGAAGCAGGAGCTGTTAACCCACGGCTCTGTCCCAAGAGCCCTTGGCCAACACGGTCACCCCACAGCAGCCAGGAAAGCTGCTCTGCCCCAGAGCACCCCCTGACCTCCCCCAAAGGCCGCACACTCTCACAGCACCTTCCCTTGGATGGCAGCGATGGAAAAGCAGCTGCTGCTGGGCACTGGGGAGGGCAGGGCCCGGGGCTGGAGCTGCCAGCATTGGGACAGGCCAGAGGGATCCCTGGGAGGAGCTCAGCTGTGGAAAGGATGGACCTGGGCACGGAGACATAACCCCTGTGTGCAGCAGGCTGGGGAAAGGCATGTGGCTGTGTTCCCCCTGTCTTCAGGCATTTCCTCCAAAACAGAGGCTGAAAAGTCTATTAATCCATGAACCCCAACAGGGAATTGCTCCTGTGTTGCTCCAGGCACTCGGTCCCTTCAGGCTCCCCTGGCGAGTCAGGACACAAACCAAGCAGAGTTACACCTACGACTTATTTTATTGTATTTTATTTGCATAAACAAACTTCGGGGGCTTTGCTAAACAGGAACTGTTCAAGTCAAAACAAACCAAACTCTAGCTGGTGTGTGGGGAACAGCACAGCAATCCTGGGGAGAGGGACAGGGGGAGCGAGGGCACGGCTGTGCCTCCCCGCCCGGGGAACCCTCCACAAACTGCTCCAGAATATCTTTKAAAGTAGAAGATAAAAAGAAATGCATCCTAAGGGGCCATCCTCAACCAGCTCAGGAGGAATCTGACTTTTGGTTTTATAAAAAGATTAATAAAAAATATTGAAAAATTCTCATCTCTGTTTATATTTTTCCCCAGGAAGAATTCAGAAGTTCCTTAGAAAACTGTGTCACCTTGGAAAGGGCACTCGGGTCACAACCAGCTGCAGGGAGGAGACACAAACGCTACAAGCAGTTTGGGGTCCAGCACACACCAGGCCTAATAATGAACACAAACAGTGGCCAGAAGTAGGGTGTAATTTTTTTTTTTTCTCTTTTAAACCATGCTAATTTTGTTAAACTTCCAACATAAAAGGAAAACAATAATTTTTAAAAGGCCCTAAACTCAACTGTTACATAAAAAAAAAGTTAAAAAAAAAAAGTCATAGCAGTTTGGTCCCAACAAGTGAACATTTAGATGTTTACTCACATGCTTCATTGTTTTCTTATTTATAAGAACCAAAAATAGTTTCCAAAATTATTTCTGAATTGATGTTGCTACGTATGTAAAGGCCTAAAATAAGCAGAGTATGAATTTAGAAAATTGAATACACAATAGGGGAGGAAAATTTGAGCGGGCCAGTGAACCCCGACTGTTACTGGGTCAAATTATAAAAGAGAAACAAAATGTCAGGACTGGTGGGGTCAGGTGGGCACAAACTGAAACCACATCGTCCTCAAAGCCTGTTACCAAAAAATAACCGACCATCCRTAAGGTCACAGAGAAGGGAAAATCTGGGGTCTCACCCAGGGCTTGACCGTATCCAGTCCAGAAGGGAAGTCTTTGGGAAGAGAAACTCCAGGAGTGGATCCGAGCGTAAATGATGGATCAGTCCCAGTCCRTGCTTGGGGAGGCTGAACTCTGGAAATGCAGTTAAATAACATCGGGATCGTTTCCGAGCTGCTCTCCAGGGCTCTCTGCTCAGCACATGGGGATCACCCTGACACCCCAGCACCAGCCTGACCCCTCCCCTCCTGCCAGGGCTCCCGGAACCGCGCGGACCCCGCGGCTACTCGGCCGTCGTCTGCAGGGCGTCCTTTTCCTCCCGGTTTTCCGTTCCGCTTTCGTCGTCTTCGATTTCTCCCTCTTCCCCACTGAACTTGTCATGAGCCCACTTGGGGCTGGTGCTGGACTTGCGGAACATGAACCGGCCTCTTCCCCGGGGGAAGGCGCCGCGGCCGCGGCCCCTGTTCACCCACTTGTCCGTGCCCTCGCCCTCGCGGTCGTCGTGCTGCACGGGAAGCCAAGGACAGCAGGTGAGACAGGCTGGCACCGCCCTGCACCGCGCCTCTGCGACCGCCCTTGGGGATCCACTTAATGGGAACCACTCTACAGGGAGCAGGAACAAGCTCTCTTTAGGCAGCAGTTTCCTGTGAAGCGTCACCCGAAGCCTTACCTGGTGTGTCAGGGRCAGACGGTGCTTTCACCTCGAAAGCACCTGAGACCAGACACACCTGCAGCGGGTGTCCCAGCACCCAGGTACGTACCAAGTAGTATTTCTTGCTCTTGGGCGTGTACTCGGGATCCCACTCCTCCTCTCTGCTGCGCTTCTGGAAGTCGTTGTTGCCGCCGCTGTTGCTGTTGTTGTTGCCTGAAAAGTTGCCTCTGCCCCATCCTCTCCCTCGAGCTCTGAACTGCTGCAACAGCAACACACAGAGAAAAATTCAACAGCTGCAGAGAAGTGCCCTCCCACCCCAGCRAGCTTCCAGAGATCCAACATCCCTTCTCTGACCATCTGAAACACCTTTAGCCTATCACTAAAGAAGGACAGCACATTTTGGGGTTTTCAGTTCGTCTGATCACACAGCACATCACAGTTCCTACAAGGCAGCTGAAGGTCAGGCAGAGGTATTTCCAGGGCAGCCCCAAGCAGGTGAGACCCCTCTGTACACAGACTGCAAACATGAGCGTGGCTGAGCCCCAGTGGAAGCACAGCATGGGCCCCATGAGGCTGCTCAGCATCACCAACGCACAGAAATTTCCAGGCTTTGATCTGCTCCTCCCATCTGGAATTTGCTGCCCACAGCACATCCCCAGCAGCCTGGTTTGTGCCCCAGACCTGGAGTGATCCCACTGGGGCTCATCACCCACAATGGCCTGGGGGTTTCTCCTCCAGGGCAGCTTTAACTGAAGGAGCAACACGCAGCGGCTGCTTCCTGCCCATGCTGGGAATCACCACTCGAGGCAGGGGTGGAGAATGCTCAGGGCAGGGGTGGAGAACACTTACAAAGGTCCCTCTCGCTCTTCCTCTCTCATTTGGACCAGTGAATTCCTTAGTGCCAAGCCGTGATTTGTCAAAGCCTGTGGAGCTCTCCTCCCTGTCCTCAGTCTCCTCGGGATACTCCTCTGCTTTGACTGAATGAGAGGACCACGAGGACGATGAACTGGACCTGGATCTCTCACGCACCCGTCGGTGTTTCCTGTTTCAGTGATGGGAATGGAGGGGAGTGGATTTTTAGCATTAGGAACTCAATTGTGACCCATCTGATAAAAAAACATTTCATTACCACTCCCTTATCAGTGCCATGCTCTCCTTTTCTTACTACAAGAGGAAAAGCCATAGCAAGAGCTC